AGGGAATGCTCTGTTGCTGGTGTGGCACTTATTAGGCCATTTTCATGCTGTTGATAAAGACATACCTGAGACTGAGTAATTTACAAAGAAAAAGAAGTTTAATGGACTCACAGTTCCATATAGCCGGGGAGGCCTCACAATCATGGCAGAAGGCGAAAGGCACATCTTACATGGTGGCGGACATGAAAGAATGAGAATGAAACAAAAGGGGTTTTCCCTTATAAAACCATCAGATCTCATGAGGCTTATTCACTACCATGAGAACAGTACTGGGGAAACTGCCCCCATGATTCAATGATCTCCCACCAGGTCCCTCCCACAACAGGTGGGAATTATGGGAGCTACAATTCAAAATGGGATTTGGGTGGGGACATAACCAAACCATATCAAGCACCATCCAAACAAAACCAGGAAAAGCAAAATCGCCCCAAACACAAAAGCCCAAAGTCAACCCAAGTCACCAAACCAAAGGCTCAAGGAAAATAATGGTCAAAATCATTGACAGTGTCCTCCTCCTGAGATTTGCAATATTCAGATGTACCCCCTGCCACCCACACTCATCATGGTTGGGGCATGGGGAAGCAGCAACTCCAGTCCTGGATGTTGCCACCTGGATGCGAGGAGTGACCTAGGATAGCCCCTTGTGCTTTTTGATGACCCCTCTCGCCCACCCCCAGCAAAGTTCATGGGAGGTTTACTTTTGAAGAGAAAGCACCTGACCTTTCAGGACAGCAGTGAGCACCACTGCAGAGACCCAGGAGCTCCTGTAGGTGTAGACCATCACCCACGGGACACCGCGTTCTGGGCCCCCGTGAGGTTTCCCTGAACTTGTCCAAGGTCAAGGAGAGAAGCAGGGCCCAGGCTCCAGCACTCACATGACGCATTTGTCACTCAAGGATATGGCTTTGTCGGCCATTAGATGACATCTGTCTGTCATGGAATTATCTACAACACAGAGTGACTGTGCCCAGATGTGGACAGCTCCCTTGGGTGCTGAGGTGCAGAATGTGGGAAGAGAACAGACAGCATCAGATACAAAGCATCAAACAGCGGGTCCCCTTGGGCTCTGCAGTAGAAACCGGAGACCTAGGACCATGTTGCCTCACGGGGGCCTCAGGCTCTACCTCCTTCTATCACAAAACACTGAGGCCCAAAGCAGAAAATTAAAAGTCAGTAACACAGGAGTAGGCTCCGAAGACCAGGCTCTTCACCTTCATGGAAGGGATTGCAAACTCCAACACCCAAAGCGCCAGGCCCATCTACAGGGACAGACTCTGTTCAGCTCCAGTGACCCTGGCTGTGTGACAGCAGGGATCCGGGGGGCCTGAACTTTGACAACTGAAAAGAAACTGCACATCTGGATTTCTGTGAACACTCCTGATGTTTAAACATTGGCTTGCAAATTTTTAAACCAGTACATTTAATGTCCCTCTGTTAAGTTACACCCTGTTTATAGGGGTGTTGTTCATGGCCAAGCTTCTGAACATTGACCTGGTGTTGTGGAGGTGAACAATGTCCCTAGTGCAAGATCCCAGGTCTGTAGAGCTGGATGAGGCCTCGGGGTTGTCCCAGCTATTGCAAACTGCAGGTGACCCCACATCCCAAAACACACGTGCTACTAGAGAGACGGCCTCTCTGGGAGCATCTATAGGCAGCTAAATACTGTGTGTTAGCACGTCCCTTTCCAAGGGTTGTTTTTGACAATGAAGACGACAGATGACAATGATGGTGACAGATGACAATGATGGTGACAGATGACAATGACGACAGATGATAATGATGACGACAGATGATGACAACGACAGATGATGACAACGACAGATGACGATGATGGTGACAGATGACAACGACAGATGACAATGATGGTGACAGATGACGATGATGGCGACGATGATGGTGAGAGTAACAGTGATGCTACAGTAGCAGCAGTAAACACTTTCCAAGTGCTCGGTGTGGGTTAAGATGGAGATAAGTCTTTCCTGGAGATCACTTAATTTAATTTTAGCGACCCTGGGAGGTCAGTGTGACTACTATCCTCATTTTACAGTTGATCAAACAGGATCAGAGAGGTTAAGTCACTTGCCCATGGCCCCACAGCTCAGTAAGGAGTTCAGGCATGTGTCTCAAACCCAGGTCACCTGATGTCAAAGACGTCTTCTGTTTCCAGTTATTTGGACCAGTTGTTTGACTTGTGTGCCAGCATCTCATCACGGACGAGATCTCTGGGGGCTGCTTCCAGGGCTAAGTAAGCTAATGAATGTGCAGTCATTAGCAGAGCACTCTCCCCCACCCTGCATGCATGCAGCCACCTGTGTCAGCTCTTGTTATCCCCAGCGTGATGACAAATGTCACTAGCTGCTAATAAGCCAGCTGCATCCCTAAGGAATGGAATGGTCTTTCTTAAACCAGACTTGTGGCTCCTGCTTTAGACATTTTGGACATTCCTCTGTACTTTCTATACTTCTGTTTTCTATATTTTACTTTAAGTGAATTCACATTTTTATCTCTGTTTAGAAGAAAAAGCAAATCTCTATAATTGCCCAAAATGAGAAGTCAGTACTTCTTGCCCTAATTATTTTCATTATTAATGTTTAAACATTCATTATTAATTAAATGTTAATAATGTTTTCTCATTGTCTGTCCACATGCCATTCACAAGAAGTCATCTCACAAACCCCAGGGGCACAAGACCCACACTGGGGAAGCTGGGAATGAAACAAGTCCCCGGGGAACCATGCACGTCTCCAGTCTCCCTGCCCCCAGGTCTTGCCAGGTCACCAGCAGAGCGCTTCCTACAAGGCAAATCCCATTGTCTCTCCATCCCTGGGGGTTCCAGCTGCCCTCAGGGAAAACCTGCCAGGCCAACTCTCTCCAATCTGTGGGCTGTTTTTTATTTTAAATTTTTTTGAAACAGGGTCTGGTTCTGTCACCCAGACTGGAGTAAGTGGTGTGATCACGGCTCACTATAGCCTTGACCTCCTGGGCAACCAAAACCAAAAAACAAAATCTTTTTGTAGAGATGGGGTCATGCAATGCTGTCCAGGCTGACTTTGAACTCCTAGGTTCAAGTGATTCTCCTGTCTTGGCTTCCCAAAGTGCTGGAATGATAGGTGTGACCCATCTCACCGAGCCCTGGGTTGTTTTTAATCGTTACAGTTCCACTGACAAGAGCCACGCCCTTTCACCATCGACGCTGCTTTTGTGCTACGAGGGTAGAGGCAAGTGACTGCGTCAGACACCTCCAGCCTGCAGCGCCGATGCTCTTTCCTCTCTGGCCCTTTACAGAAAAGGTGTGTGTTCCTGTCCCCTGTCTTTGCCTGTTATTCCCCTTTCTGGGATGCTCTGCACCTTGCTCTCTGCCTGGCTGATTCCCACTCCTCCCTCAGGCCTCACTCAGGAGAGGGTCCTTGATACAAATGTGTAATCTCAACAGACCCACCCTGCTCTCAGGAACCCACCCACACCCAGCATCTGGAGAGAGAGCGAGAGTCTGTGTCTGAGGTCAGAAGAGGGCGCTGAGGGGAGCAGGCACAGGCCCTGAGCTGAGCTACAGAAACCACTGCCAAGGAGAAGCGTGAGCCCCAGTGGGGGCTGGGAGCAGCAGCCCTGCCTCCCTCAGGGAGGCTCATGGGCCATACACAAGGGCTGGGCTGCGGGGACCACACTATGGCAGGAAAGCCAGGCTCTGCTCAGCCGTAAGAACCATGCCAGCCCCAAAGTCAGATACCTGGTGCACACAGAGACCTGTGTGTGTGGAGGGGGCCTCTGCGTGAGAGCTGGGACCCTCCAGGGGTCACAACTCTCAGACCCCAAATTCCAAGCCAGGTGAAACTGGAGAAACACAGCCACCCCCAAGGAGGGCCGAGCATGCCTCTGGGCAGGTGCCTGCTAGCGCTGCAGGGGTGCTGTGGATGGGCGGCCTGTGAGGCTGTGGGTGTCACCCTTCTGTGGCAGAAGGAAGTCCCAGGCACGGTGCACCCGCTCTGAAGCAGAAGCCTAGCAGGCTGTCCTGGGGCCTGGATTTCCAACTTCCCACACTCATGGAGAGATGCGTTCACCTTCCCACCCCCAAACCGTGTGAGACGTGCTTATAGCCTGAAATTCTATGAGACAACAGGATTCCAAGTCCACAGTGAAGCTCCAGAAGAATCGCTGTCAGGTGGGAGAGGAGGAGGAGCTGGTGAAGCGCCTGCAGGTGTCTGTGGCCAGTTCCTGCTTTCCTCCCTTCTATCATTCCTTCCTTCTCCCCTATCCTTGGGAGGTGCCCTGGTCTAGCCAATTAAAATAAAAACCACCACCACCACCCAAAGCCCCTACTGCCTTCGATAATAGTCGCTCTACACAGCAGACGCTGTGCTAAGCTCCTCCCACCCTCCAAACAACCCTGAGGTAGGTCCATTACTTTTCCCATTTAACAGCGGGAAACTGAGGCTTGGAGCAAGGCACCAAGTCCGCCTCCCCTCGAGAAGCAGCGGAAGAGCCCTGTACAGGCCGCAGCACGCTGAGCCTGCATCAGCACCGACCAGCTCCCAGGCATGCACACAAGCAGGGACTTAAGCATCTTTTAGGCCAAGACGCCCCCTATGGCAGGATTTTGGCCATAGTAAGTCCCTCAACCCTACGTCCTACCCCTTTTCGGGTCACTAAAATACCCCCACTGGGCACTTGCCCCTCCAGAGAGCACTTTCCTGCCTAGAAGCTCCCAGAGAAACCCAAAGATGCCCTGGGACGGGGGGAAGGTGTGCCAGGGAGATGAACATCGTTAAGTACCTTCCCTTATTGGCTGTGCCAGACTTGGAAAGAGACAGTAGAGGAAAGTGCCCCAGCAAACCCTTCAACCCAGCCAGGCAGCACAGCGTGGCAGCGCATCGAGCACGGGCCTGGCTCTCTTGAGAACAATGTTCTACGAGGGCCGTTGCCTAAGCTATAGCCAGGGACACCAGTAGGGATGTATGGCCATTCTAGGAGAAGCTCAACTTAGCGCGGTCTCCAGCCAGTACCTGCATCGTCCAAGTGGGCGGCTGAGGACAGTGGCTTGTCCAGGGAGACCTGGTCCGTCCCAGTGGCCAAGGGGCTTCCCGGCTGGGCGTCTTCTGAAGTCAGCATCTCCGACTTGGGAGTAGGCGGTTCACTCTGCACAGATCGGGGTCCTCCATCGGGGTTGCACGTTTTGCTTTCAGCATCTACAAGGAAATGCAGCTGTCAGCCAGGCCTGCGCCTCTCTTCCTTCATCCCTTCCATCATCCCAAGAGCCTTCCTGAGAAGCATCCATTCTAGGATCTGGGTGGTCCCCCACCTCTCTCCCCCCACCACACACCAGAGGACAACAAACGGTGATTGCTGTAGACCTCTGAGATGCAGGGGTGGTTGTGGCTGCAGAAAACCAACTCACCTCTGCACCCACCACTCGACCCTCAGCCAGGCATTAAACAGGTGTTTACTGATCACCCACTACGTGTCTAGCACTGTGATAGACCCTGGCAAGGCGGAGGTTAATAAGATATGGTCCTTGCCCCCAGGGGGCTCACACTCTAAGGAAGCCACGCAGATGACCACACATGGTACCGTGAGCCCAGAACGGGGGCACACCCATGGATGGAGGGGACACAGAGCCAGGGGTCCCTAGGTCTGACAGGCAGCCTTCCCAGAAGAGGAGGCACTGGCAGGGCATAAGGAAGGACTTGGTGCTTCCCCTCTCTTGAAGCTTGGCTGCTGCAGCCTCTGAGGGTCATCCGTGGGGTTGCACCTTAAGGGTGAGGGGCTCAGCACTCGGAGAGCAAAATAAATGGCCCAGTTACCCAACTGTAGGATGGCAGGACCCTCGGCCAGCAAGTCAGTCACATCACTGAGATGCACGTTACAGCTCCACGTACAAAGCCCCCGCATGGCCCTGCGGGACTCCTCTCAATCCCTACAGCGCTTCCTGGAGGCCTGGTGCAGAGGGTAGTGTGACCTGCACATGTTGGCACAGCCATGAGGTGGCCGTTTGGGGATGCCAGCCTGCCCTGACCTCCTTCCACATGCCTCCCATCCTGGCAGTGGAAAGAAGAGGCAACACTTACTTCAGGGTCGGGGTCCACAGGACCTGGTCAGTCCTCATTCCTACCTGCCATCCCTGTGTCCTTCAACAGTGTCCCTTTCACTCCTAAAAGTGTCCTGTTTGGACAACAGTGTACAGTCACCCTATCATGCGTCCCACCACCTGCAAATGGCATTTTGGGCCCAAATAGCAAATTCCTCTGGATCTCAATTTCCTTACTTATAAAACGGGGATAATATTTCTGCTTGCTTCATGGCAACATTGCGAGAATTAATGGAGCTAAGGTATGGAATGTGTCTGGCATAAGGTGTGCACTTTACATATGCTGTCATGTTGTTGGTGATGGTTTCTGACAACGAGAAGAGGAGGGTGACAAGAGTGATCTGGCCCTTGGTCTGCACCTTTGGGCCCATCTGCTAACAGCAAGCTTAGGACAGAACCATTTCTCCCTCCACAGAGTCCTCACCACACCCAGGACTCACGCCAGACCCATTTCCTGCCTGGGGCCCTGGAAGAGATTTGAGCTGTCATCACTGCCGATCGGACTCCCTCTGCTGTGCATGTCTCCTCCGGGGAGAATGAAAAGGTCAGCCACGTCGGAAGTCTGGACATTTGGGGCTGGACGATCTCATCCATGCAGACGCGTCAGTTGCCCAGAGGTCCAGGCGATGCTGGCAGGCTCTTCCCGTACGGCGCAGATGGCGAACGTGCCAGGCTCTGTGGGCCACGTGCCGTATGCCCCGTGCTGCAACTCTTCCTTGATTTTTTGTTTAATTTTTATGAAAGTCTTTCCTATTTAAAAAGCATTCTTAGCTCAAAGGCCACATAAAAACAGGTCCTGAGCCAGATTTGACCCTTACCTATAACAGCCCGCCAACCCAGATACAAGCCAAGAGAGCTCACCAAGTAGACAAAATCAGAGGTCACAAAGCTCAAAAGTGAAATCAGCCCCTTCTCGTGGCTGGTTTCCTCGTACTTGACATGCAACTGTGACAGCACAGCTGACCCGGCCCCTGGCCACACACAGGGAATGTGAGAGCTGGCGTGAGGGAGCACAGGGCTCTGCCAGCTTGAGCTTCACACCTACCCTGTGTGACAGGCAAGGCTGCCACCCACCACTGGCAGTTATGGACACCAAACCTTAGAATGCACAGGTCTTTTGCTGCCACGCCTGTCACTGCTGTTAATAAGGATGCCTCCATCATCATCAGCAGCAGCAGCATCAAAATCATCACAACCACCACCATAAAAAGGTCAGAACATTGAACCTGGAAGGCCCAGAGGTCTCCAGACTCAAAAAAGCACCACACCCCTCCACAGTCTGAACCTTCCCCTGCTTTTGCAGCTGAGCAGCCCTTGCAGGACTTCTCTGGGCTGCGGTCAGAGCTCCAGCTCATAATCATGTTCAATGAAAAGTTTCAGTTCCCAAAATAGCCCTGGTGGCAGGGCTGTTGCTAAGAAACGCGGGTTGGGGAGGGGTGGGGGGAGTGGTGGGAGCCCAGGCCCTGCTCCTCTGGCTGGAAGGTCAGCCTCCCCCGGCCAGTCTCCTTCGAGGGCTGCAGAAGGGAGCGCAGAGCAGTGCGCCTGAGCAGCCCCAGTGAGAGGGAACGTGCTGCAGACATGCACACGCACTCAGATGTGCATGCAGGCGCACACGTGTACAGTCATGGCACATGCATGTGCACGGTGCAAGTACATGTGGGTGCACATGTGTGCACGTGCATGTGTGTGCACACATGCAGACATGTGTCCCCCGGCGTTCCTACCACATGGAAACCAGACTTGATTTGTCACTGTCCAATTCCCTGAGGAAAGAATGCCTAGTCAATCTCAGGTCACTGAACACAGCAGAGTAACAAACTCTCTTCTTTTATATCCAATGACAGGGTAGGAAATTCCTTAAATTATTTAAGAAAATGCCAAGTCAACGCATACAGGGAGATGGAGGAAAGTCACTCAGAACATAAACAGTGTCTGGCACAGAGAAACGTGGGCTGGGCGAGGGGGCTGGGGAAGGGGACGTCTGGCCTCGCTTGGTCACGGATATCTCAGAGGACGGCGGAAGGAGCACTGAAGACAGCAGAGGGGTCCCCTCTCCCCTCCCCGGGACACAACTGGCCCCACTGCACACATCTAGTAATGTAATAATGCCACCAGCAGGGTCCTTCCTAGGTCCAAGCTGATGACTAGTCACAGAACAGGAGGGGATGGGGTCGGAGTGGTTCATAAAACGGACCATCGATCATAAAATAACACCCCAGGGGGAGCAAACTCATGCCCTGGACGCTGCCTCAACCCCCGGGAGCTGGCGAGCTCTTTTCTGCCGGCCGTTCCCGGAGGCCAGCTCCCTCCACCAGGCTGCCCACCTGCTTCAGGGCAAGCTCCAGGGTGTCCGACGTGCATGCACACGCGTGTGTGCAGGGCAGAGGGCAATCCTGGGGTTTGCACTGGCCAAGGAAGTTCAAATGTGAGTTTTGAGGGGCTTCAAATGAGGCTCCGGAGTCTCTGACAATCCACTCCCGCAGCCTCACAGGGCCTGTCCCGCATGAAGTCCCGGCCACCTTGCAGGGAGGCTCATGAGCCTGGCCGGCCACAGGAGGGCGCCCCCGGCTGCAGATGCGTCCCTGCCGGCGGTGGCAGGCGGTGGCTGAAGCTGGTTGCTTAACCCCAAAGCCAGGAAAGCGCTTCCGCTCCTCACCCCGGAGAGTCCTCACACCCACAGCAGAGGCGGCGGCACTGTGTGCCTACCCCGGAGCGGCAGCCCTCACGCCGGGTCCTCCCCTGAGCCGGAGAGGGCAGGTGCACAGCCACCGCCAACAATGCCGGTCATCCTGCAAGAGGGTCTGACCTCAGGTCGACCCAGTGAGAAAAGGCATTTTTGAAGCCAGTGCAGGACGGAAACCGCGGTGCAGGGAAGGATTTAGCCCGGAGCCTGTGGCCAAGCATCTGCGTGGATCCTGTTATTACTGCACGTTGATTACAGGTTGATTGCAGTAAAGGATTCAAGCAGCACAGAAGAGTCGACTGTGAACAGCAAGTCCAAGTCCCCTCCCAGAGCAACCCCTGCTGCCCCATCCCTGATATTTCCCTGCAGAGACACTCGGGCTCCTGGCAGACCCCACCCACTCGCGCTGTGGCTGCCCCAGCTCCCGCAGCAGCGTGGTTATGCCTCTGCCACCCCAGCCGGTGTGTGGGCAGGGAAGATGGGAGGCGTCTTGACCCAAGCCCCTCTCTTGCTTTCTCCTTTCCTCCAGCCCAACCCACCATCTCAAGGTCCCTTCCACAGCGGGGACTTGCTCTTGCTGCTCCTGGGGGCTGGAAGTCACTCCCTGCTTCCCTGTCTCTTGGCTTTTCAACCTTCCTGCATCAAAGTCGGAATCAGCTGTGGAGGATGAGGAAGCGCTGCTGCCTGGGTCCCACGCCCAGAGCATCTAATTTAACTGCTGCCTGAGCGGTGGAGGGTTTTTAAAGCTCTCCAGGTGATCCTAATATGTAACAAACTCTGAGAACCAGGCTAGGTCCTCCTGCCCACCTTTGGACCCCACTCAGACATCTCCCGGCACCGGAGGACCAGGTCAGGTCCTGTCTCGTGTTCTTAGGGTGCCATGTCCTTCACCACACTCATCGCCGTCGTGAGTAGCTGACTCTATGTGGGATTATCTCATGGTCCCACTGGATGTGCGTTCAGAACAGTATTTTGCTCACCTGTGTCCTCAGCAGCTAGCACAGACCCTGACACATAGTGGGCCCTCAATAAAATGTCATGGCATCAATTTAGGGGTGCATTTGCCCTCTCAAGGAAAGAGATTGTGTTTCAGGTCACTCTAGTCCCTGGTCCATAATCATTTAGCAAGACAGACAGTATGGAAGGGAGAGATGAACAAACCACAACATGGAGGCCACTCCAGCCCCCGCACCTGGATTTGACATCTTTAAATGGTTGACAAAATTATATAAACTTCAAAGGCCAGTGGCCATAAGTAAAGTTTTCTTGGGACACAGCCACGCCCTCTCATGCATGATTTGTCTCCGGCTGCCTTTGGGCTACAAAAGCAGAGACAAGTAGTTGCAAGAGACTGCACGGCCCCCTAAAATACGCACTATCTGACCCTCTCCAGAAAAGGTTTGCCGACCCTGATCTAAAGTGATTCTGTAAGACCGCGGGTGTGTGATGTCGCCGTCAGAGGCACGGAAGCCAGAGACCAGGCTCCCACGGCAGCAGGGTGAAAGCCATGCTGTCATCCTGGCCGCAGCCAAGCATGCGTCTCCAGCCTCTGTTCCGACTTCATCAGACAAAATCATCTTGCAAAAATTCAGAGTGGAAAAAAGCCAATGCTCCTAGAAGTTTTCCCCTTTAATTATTCAAACTACAGCTTCATTTTTGAGAGGAATCAAGTCTATATACTTACTCTTCCCTCAACAAAAGTAATATATTTTTAGAATAGATGAAAAAAGGCCCTAGCATTGTTTTCATCTTCCTTTCTCCTTCCCTAAGATCCAAAGTCATGCCTGTTGGCAACATATTCAAAATGCTGAAGTTTGACACTTTTTTGTCCCATCCAAATTAAAATCCTCCAGATTTCTAGCTCAGCAACCGCATTCCACCAAATCTGAGTATCACAACACAGCGTTAAACATCTGAGTGCCACGGGACTTGACACCAAGCTTTCCTCGCACATGTAAGGTTTTATTATCACTATTAAGCAATTTCCCATGTAGATTTCCCCTAAAAATAGCATCATCAAAATACTTCACTCTTTGAGTCTAAAGAAAGGAAATGATGACAAAGGCTTGGGCCCACAATCGGGTTTGTGCGCTGACAGGCCCTGCTGCATAAAATCTGGATTCATTTATTTCATGAGCTTCCTTCCTAATTCCTGATATTTGGGCCAAATTACAAAGACACTAGTAATATTTTAAGGCTGAAGCAGGGAGAGAGGAATTCAATATATTCATGCAAGCCTCAGGAAATTGGCTGTGCATGGCCAGATTCCTTAAATCAGGAGGCCAGAGCTTGGTCCAGCTCCAGACAGTCTTCCAGAGGCATTGAGGTTTTATGAAACCTCCTAACCAAGATTTAGCCTCTCAGGGAACCGGAAAGCACCAAGGGCTAGTGTCAGCATCCAAGTCCTGGGCCTCACACACCCAGGAATCCGTCACAAGGAGAAAGACTTGAGAATTAAAGAACTCTGCTCAGTTAATTGCATGAGCGATAATAACTGGCCTTTCTGAAAGATGGAAACAAAGACGATTACGTAGACACCACTGAGATTAAACTCTCTAGACCAGAGACCAAGAGATGAGGATTTGTTCTGCGTCTCTGTTCTCAGGCTGCAATGACTTGGGGCAGTCACCACCCAGACCCTCACACTCCTCATCTGCCAATGGGATAACCACTGCCCCCATCCTCAGGGATGCTGGGAAGACCAATGAGACAGGGCATGCGGAATACCCCACCCAGCCCCAACATGTCCTGAATGCTTCCCACATGGTGGTAGTAGGAGTAGGTAATAGTGGAATTAAAAATAATTTGCGCAAATGGAGAATTGAAATGTGAATATGGAAAAAAAAAAAAAGTTAACGCTGAAAAAAACCATTGCTGCCACTTTAAAGGAATCGAGATAAACCACCAACTTTTTCGTGCAGAGCCAGCTCTGTTAGACATTACCCAGGGAGTCGTGTCATGAGGGGGAGCTCTTCAGCTCCGTAATGGGGTCTCCCATGGCCCCCCTAGGGGCTGGACCAATGGAATGGCTCCTGACATGAGGCATTTCTCCAACCTTGCAGGCTTCATCTGGACATGGCCCTCTTCTGTTTCTACTCCGTTTCTGATGGGCTTCCCGGATTCATGTGAGACTTTTCATTCCGCATTCCCAACACCGTGCCCTTCCAAGCCAGGGGTGGGTCCCACTTACCCTGCTCCATCATCTCCAGCAGCCCCTTCTTGATGAGCTCCTCTCGGCCTTGCCTGCCGGCCATCTTCTTCTCCAGCGCTGCCCAACACACAAACACACAGTGAGTCTTGGGCAAAGGTGTCAATGGGCCCAAGCCACAGCCAATGCCAGGCTCAAGTTTACAGACCAAAAACAGTGAGCTAGCAGGCGCCTCGGGCTCAGGGGCCTGGTCCACTGGCAAGGCCCAACTTTCTTACGCAGCACTCTGCTAAGCGATGTACGTAAACCACAGCTAAAGCGCAGTGCACGCCGTGGATATTCTACAGTAGTCGTTTCTGTGATGTATCTGGAAAGCCCCTCCACATATAATGCCCCTCTCTAAGTTAGCTCCCACCAGCCATTCCTGCCCTTCACCAAATGCTGCTTAACTTACCAACCAAGGAAGGCGCCCTCCCTCTGCCCCCAACACCTCAGGCTCCTTTCTGTGGTTCCCGTTAGCCTTTGATAAGTGCCTCCTGGTCCCTGTTAACATCCGCTCACAGATGAGATTCTTCTGTGCGGCTCTCCCACTAGAGCTTCTTCCAATAAACACAGGTTAAAAGCTTCCAGTCTACCAGATGGACAGAAAGGGAGGAGGCCAGCCCCCAGTCCCCTTCCACCAAGCCTAATTTGCCAGATCTTTGTCAATTCCACCTTCAGAAGAGCCTTTCCTGCCTCCCTTTCCCGGAGCAAAACACTTGCGCGACGCCCCCCGCCTTCTCCCATTCTCCCTCCGCTCACAGGCAGGCCTCAGGCTGCTGGACAGTCATCATCTTCTTCCTTCCATCAGGAAAACTGTTTGCCTACAGGTGAGCCCCAATTTCCAAATGCAAGACTACATAACCACCGCAACCCTTTCTTTGAAAGATGCACCTTTGCGAGGGCTGTTTCCCCTGCTGTGATGCTTTTCCCCGCCTTTCCCAATGAACAATTACATCTCAGCTCAATGCAGCCTCCTCACCTGGGTCTTCTCGGACCACTGGGCCCAAAGCAGTGCCCGCCCTGCTCATTTCCACCCCAGGGCCTGCCCAGTGATCCTGCCATTAAGCCTGGATCACAGAGTCCATCAGTGTTGTGTGTGTGGAAGGGGCCCTGCCAGATGCCGGGGAACAGACAGAGAGGCAGCCCACCTGGCTGAGCTTAATGTCTAGGTGGGGAGGCAGATGACAGACAGGCACTGGCAATGGAATTATTTCACCTGTTCAAAAGTATTTCCTGAGCATCTGCTACGTGCCAAGTGCTGAGCTGGGTGCTGGGGAATCACAGAGGGCAGAACCCCTGCCTGCAGCCTCACGGTCACAGGTGTGGGCTCCGCTGGGGGAACAGGCCATGGTGACCAGGTGTTCAATCTATCGAAACCCCTTACACATTTACTGAGCACCTACTGTGTGCCAGGCACCGTGTCAGGCACAGGAGATTCTGCCGTGAGCCAGACAGGCACAGCCTCTGCCTGAGGCCAGCACAGGTGGGAGGACAGATGGCAAGTGTCTAGAAATGGGCGAGGAGGGATAAGTCAAACCTGGGGTGGGGGACTGGTTGGGGGGAAGTTGTCTGGGGAAACCCATCCCACCCTTGACCTCCGGGGTGGCTTCTCCGAGGATATTTACCCTAAAGCCAAAGGATGAAAAGGGAAACCCAAACACAGCAGGGTGGGGACATTTCTGGGCAGAGAAAACAGAATTTCCTTTCTGTGGTCCCAATTTCCAAGCCAATTTCCAGGTGCCAGAATTGTGGATAAAACTGACAAAGTGATTGCTGACCTTGGGAGGTGTCAGCAAGAGGCTGCAGCTAGGTTCACAAAGCAGATGAGAAGAACAGAGGTGGAGGCCTCGAGCTCTGAGTGGACCCCGTCCCCAGGCCAACACCAGGCGGTGCTCATGGTGATCAGCCTCAGACATCACAGGTCTTTGCCTGCACTGACTCGAGGACTTCCCAGTGACCCAAAGACGCAGCTGCGAGGATCTACTCTCCGCCTCTCGGGGATGGGGACATCAGTGGTGGTGCAGCTTGTAAAGGTGGTACAGCATATAAATGGTGAGTGGATCTCAGCCACCTGCCAGGGCAGGCATGGACTGAGATGCTGCTCCACCCTGTAGCCCGTGAGAGCCATCTTCAGCATGTTCCCCCAGCCTTGCCTGCCAAAACCACTGTTTGCTACATATTTCTCTTTCAATCATCTTTGTATTCACTTCAGCTCATCCTAACCCGTGATGCCCGTGAAATCAGGAATTTGATATGCTGAAACAAAGAACAGCCCCCGCTTTAAGGGAAAACAGTGGTTTGGAATAAGTAAACAAAATGCAGCACTGTTCCTCGAATTTCCAAATGCCCGAGTGACGGTCCTGAAGGTGGAGATGCTGCAGGTAATAACATCGAGATCTCCAATGCCCTAGGAGGGTCCCCAGAGCATCTTGCTGGTGAACTCACACAGCACAGCTTGGAGTAGGCCAAAGAACCCAGAGTCCTCAGAAGACAAACCCCAGCCTTCCAGTCCCACTGCTGGGGGCAGCAGGCCTGGAGAATGTCACAGACGCACCTGAGGTCACGGAGGTTGCTCTGCTCCAGTCCCCCGACCTTTCACTGCTGCACAGACGTGCCTTCCCCAGCCTGGTGCCTTTGCAAGGGCTGTTCCCACTGCTACGATGCTTTTCCCTGCCTTTCTCAATGAACCAATGACATCTCAGCTCAATGCAGCCTCCTCACCTGGGTCTTCTGAGACCACTGGGCCCAAAGCAGTGTCCACCCTGCTCATTTCCACCCCCAGGGCCTGCTCATTGATCCTGCCATTAAGCCTGGATTGCAAAGAGCCCATTGGTGCCGTGTGTGTGCAAGGGGCCCTGCCAGATGCAGGGGAACACATGGACCCCGCCCAACTGGCTGAGCTTAACATCCAGTGAGGGGCCTCATCGGAGTCTGGAATCGACTCGCGTGCTGGTTCACTTGGTGGCTTCCACACTTTGTCACTCGACTCCCTACTCTGCAGAAAGCTCTGGGTGGGCAGGGCCTGGGCCCCTCCTGTTGGTACTGGGCACACAGGAGGTGCTCAAGATCTGCTGAATGATGATGCTTGTTCTGTTTTCATTTCAACAAGAATTCATCTATCAACTTCTTGGTTGGTAAAAAAAAATAATAACAATAATTTTGTAAAGCATGCACAAAAGCATGAGTGGAGGGCCTGCTATTGGTGTTGACTGCCTCTCCTGCCGTGGGCCTGGGCACTGTAACACCTGGCCTTCATCTCCACCATCCTCAAAGCCTGAAACCTGTCCCTCTTCAGAGCTGGAAAGGAAATGGGACCCCAGGGACCACCCAAGGCAACAGCCTGAGACGGGCACTCGCCAGGGCTGGTTCCTGAGGCCCAGGACTGATTCTACATCAGCAGCTCCCTCACTAATTGTTTTTAGGTGTCGCTCACAGGTGTGTGGCTTGGAGGTGGGCCGTGGGGTGGAGATGCGGCCTCCTCCTCTGGGCTCTACTTCTCAGAACACTGCCATCCACAGAGCCCAGGCTGAGGAGCTACCACACCTGGCTGCCAGGGTCCAAGCTTCAGCCCCGCCATGTGCTGGCTGTGTGACCCTGGGTGAGTTTCTTCCCTCTCTGGGGCTGTTCTCCATCCCTACGATGGGGCAGGGTCCTGCGGGAGTGCTGGCCTAGCAGGAGGTTCTGAGGGTTGAGTTGGCTCCTCCGTGCCAAATGCTGGGGGCTGTGCTCTGCTGTTATGTGCCTTATGGCTGCTTGTCCCGTCATCACCGCCTGTGTCCACCCTGTCCGTGGTTCCCAGGGTGGATTCCGAGGAGGCAGGGGCAACGGGACCAGCCATTGCAATGCCACTTCCCACAGAGCCAGGGCTGGCAGGGTGTGAGGGTGCAGCAGGAGGTGAGTGGAGGAATGTTCTGGATGCTTTGGTGGGAGGGTATAGGGAAGGCACGCTGAGAGAGCTTAGGAGCCGGGGAGCAGCCTCTGTCTTTCAGGAAGAAGAGAGGCCCAGAGGTGTCAAAGCCGGCCTCGACCCTATGAGTCACCCAGGGGACTCTTGGCCAACTAAACCTGCATCTGTGGGGGCAGGACCCAGGCCCCAGCATCCTCCGAGTGAGACTGCAGGTGTGGGAGGTGAGGTGGTGCGGGTGTCGCGTGGGCCGGGGGCTCACCACCCAAGTGAAGCCAGCAAGCGAGACCTTGCTCCAAAGCCAGTGTCTTGGCCCAACCTGGCCCTAAGTGAATCAGAGGCTTCGTTTTTAACAAGGTCCCAGTGGACTTGTGGGCACCTTAGGGTCTGGGCAGAGCGTCCCACATGGGGTGCCTGGTGCCGACCCCACCCCAGGGCTTCAGGGAGGCCAGGTGGGCCCTGGAGGGGCCAGCGGGGTAACTTGCATGGCTCCTGTGGCCGTCACAGGCCATGAAGCACAATGTGCCCCTCCTGTGTGGGGGCCGGGAAGTCACAGGTCAGCAGGGGTCGCGGCACCATGACAAGGACGCTGGTCCCAGCCAGAGCCTGCCCGCGCCTGCACCAGGCCCTTACCTGACGTCGTCTGCTTCAGTTTTTCGTTTTTCTTTTTCCTCCATTTCCAGGGTTTGAAGATCCTGCCCAGGGTGGCCAGCTTGCTGTTCCTCCTCACAGGGGGAGTTCGAATCCCTGAGACCAGATATTCAGGACGCGCCGGGGGCGCTTGGTCCATCTCATCTGGAAGATGAAAACCAAGGGGGGACCTCAAGTGACCACCAAACCTATGTGACTCCTGGAGGCCCAAGACGACGACCTCTCTCACCCTCAGGGGTCACCAGTGATCCCCCAGAGCCTGGACCCCAGGAGGGTTGTCAAGCAGTGTGGCCACAGTGGCCACGGCCGCTCAGCAGCGTACGCTGAATTTCCCTCTGTGAGACCCTCCCTCCTGCGCCCCACTCATGGCCACCGGAAGCCCTCACCCCCTGCCACGCGAAGCACCATGTGTGAAGACATTCCTAATTCCAGGACGAAACGCTGCCTGCCCCGGACCCTTGCTCATGTTCTGCCCTCCATCCACGCTGCTCTCCCTCCCAGCCACTTCTCTGCCTCATAAATTTCAGCTCCTCCGTTGAATAGGACTTTATCCAGAGTCTTTACCTTCCTCTTGTCCCAGACAGGGTCACTCCCTTGTCTCATGCCCATGAAGCTACCTATGTAGGCACCAAGCAGCTGCAAAGGCCTCTGCCTGCTTGCCCTCCACCAGGCTGCCATCGCTCCTGGGGCAGGGGCCAGGCCTGGGGCAGCCTTGGACCCCAGCGCAGAGCCAGGCCGGTGAGATTCTGAGCGAACGGCTGCAGAGTGAGCACGTCTGTGAGCGGGCAGAGGAAGCAGTGCTCCTAGGACCCCTTCCTTGTCCATGAAACGGCCATGTTTGTAGACTCTGGGACGCACGAAGATGAATGTCCCAGGAAGCTCATGGCAGTGCTGTTTGTTGTAAGAGACTGGTAGCGACCTACATGCCTGTCCACAGGGGACCGGGTAAGTCATCGTCTGTCCTGTCAGCAGCCTGTGTGCAGACGCGGAAAGAAAAAGTGGATCTCCATGCACGGACAGGAAACTGATCTGAGATAAACAGGCCAAAGAAAACCTCAGCTCACGAATTCACACGCACACGCCACCAGTGTGTGAACAGAGAGGGTATACAGGCGCACACTGGTGTGTGGAGAGAAAATGTCTGTGGGCCCCCCCAAAGAAACGGGGAACCCCAGGGCTGGGCACAGTGGCTCACGCCTGTAATCCCAGCATTTTGGGAGGCCAAGGCAGGCAGATCACAAAGTCAGGAGTTCGAGACCAGCCTGACCAACATGGTGAAACCCCGTCTCTACTAAAAACACAAAAATTAGCCGAGTATGGTGGCGGGTGCCTGATATCCCAGCTACTCTGGAGGCTGAGACAGGAGAATCATCTGAACCTGGGAGGCAGAGGTTGCAGTGAGCCAAGATCACGCCATTGCACTCAGGCTATTGGCAGGCAGGGGAGAGAGGGAGATGTGCTTCACAGGCTGTTTTTGTAGCACATGCCATGTGTCCCTTAGTAAGAAAGATTAGTTCGAATGAAACAAAATGCAACTAACAAAATGGTAAAGTTAGAGGAGCTCACAAAGTAAGCCAGCGTCACCTCCATCCCACGGTCACAGTGTAGACCAGAGTTCAGGCCGTCACTCAGGCAGGACTGAGAATAAATGAGCACGTTGCCCCAGATGCCTCCTGGGACAGGGAAGGGATGTTTCTTCTGGCAGCAACAAGGACCTGAGTCCCATCCAGACTCCGATTTAACCTCCCAGTGTCACCAGGGGAGGAAGATCGCAGACCCGCGGGGTGCTCCCCAGCACGCTGCTGCCATAGGAGCCCAGACCTCCACCAGGACCCCTCGCCCTGCGAGCATACACACTCCCCCACAGTCAGTTCAGCCTCCCATGGTCAGCGTGCGGTCAGTTCCATAGCCAGCAGGTGAATTTGCCTTGTTGCCTGTAGAAGGGGCTGGGAGCCCTGAGCTGATGCAGACTTCAGAGCCCCAGGAAGCAGGGACATGCTGGGAGAAGGGCTGGAGGGCGTGGCTAACACAAGGGCTCACCTGAGGAAGGAGGTCACCTTTGTCAGAGAGGACAGGGAGGGAGGCCACCAGTGTTGAGAGGGGAAGGGACATCACCAGTGTCCAAGGGGCTGGGGGTTATAATGGGCCAGGCCCCTCAGACCCAGGGAAGGGTTACACTCCCACCTTTCCCGCCTAAGGCACCCCATGCACGCCACCAGCTGTCCCAAGGAGGCCCAGGATGGTCTGCTCTGAATCCAGGCTCTGCAGCGCTCAGCCTGGACAAGAGTCATATGAGGCAGCACCTGAGAGCCCGAGGCCCCACATGGCAGTGACCTCTGTGCCCCCAGTGACAGGCGGCTTGCCTGGCAGCCTCTAGAGCTTCCACAGGGTCTGGCTTCCAAAGGGGTGCACCTGTCTCTAGCCCAGGGCCTTTGAGTAAGCCACCCAGTCCCTTGGGGCCTCGGTTTCCACATCTGTTAAAAAAAAAAAAAAAAAGATACCATGATAATCATCCCTGATAGGTAAGGTTGAGAGGAGGACTCAATGTGGTCATAAATTCTGGAAAGGCCAGTGCAGTGACTCATACCTGTAATTGTAATGCTTTGGGATGCCAAGGCTAGAGGATCACTTGATCCCAAGAGTTTGAGACCAGCCTGGGCAACATAGAGAGACTCCACCTCTACAAAAAAAAATGGTTGAAAATTACACAGGCATGGTGGTGCATGCTACTTAAGAGTCTGAGACAGGAGGATCACTTGAGCCTAGGAGGTCAAGACTGCAGTGAGCTATGATTTGCAACTGTACTCCAGCCTGGGCTACAGAGAGAGAGAGACCCTGTCTGTAAAAATAATTAAAATGGAAAACAATCTGGAAACAAAGATAAACATCCACGATACACAGTTTATTAATTGTTTATGTTATCATCCATGTAAAATAATATTATCTGTGTGTCTAGACTTTATAGTCACTGATTAACATACCATGCCAGTATGGGTAACTTTTGGTAAAAATTCCTATTATAATAATTTCTATTATATAAGCAATAGAATAATTATGATGGGGTAAACGTTGGTCACTGCCTGTGCAGGGCCAGGAACTATCCTAAGGCATTGTCCTATTTTACCTTCACAATAAATCTATGAGCTAGAGATTATTCAGTTTTAGATCCATTTTACAGATGAATAAACTGAGGATCAAAGCCCTGAGCCATTTTGTTGTTGGTCTCAGAGCTGGGAAATGCTGTGGCAGGGTAGGACCTTGAGCACCCTGACTCCAGAGACCCCTCTCACCTTCCAAAGCTGCATCGAGGGGACCCAAAGCAGAACATGGAAGGATGGGACACCAAAACAAGAGGATAAACCAGGCTTGCCCCAGGTGGGTTGGGGCATGAGGACATTGTCTCCAGGCATTACTAATAGAGTGCTGAGATGGTTAGGCTTTGTGTCCCCACCCAAATCTCATCTTGAATTATAATCCCCATAATCCCCATGTGTCAAGAGAAAGACCATGTGGAGGTGATTGGATCAGGGAGGTGGTTTCCCCCATGCTGTCCTCGTGATGTTGAGTGAGTTCTCATGAGATTTGATGGTTTTATAAGGGGCTCTTTGCCCTTCGCCCTGCACTTCTCCTTCCTGCTGCCTTGTGAAGAAGGTGCCTTGCTTCCCCTTCATCTTCTGCCATGATTATAAGTTTCCTGAGGCTTCCCCAACCATGCTGAACTGTGAGTCAATTAAACTTCTTTCCTTTATAAATCATCCAGTCTTGGGCAGTTCTTTTTTGTTTAATTGGGGGCACTTCTTTGTAGCAGTATGAAAATGGACTAACACAGTGTTAACTGTGCTAGGTGCTGTGTCCACAGATGCTCCACAAAGCAGCCCCATGGGGAAAGACAAGCCCAGGAATGTCTTGTTTGACATTCTGGGCTCTGCAAACCCATTAAGGAAGCTACAGCAATGGCATCCTCCACCATGTTTTTGGGGTGACCCCAGCACCTAGTGCCTGGTACCCAGTGGGAGCCCAGGAAATGTGTGAAACCAGGGCAGCTGCAGAACACCGATCAACCACAGATCCTCCTGGTCACCCTCTCTCCAAGGCCACGGGAGGCAGAGGGATGTACTGGGGTCCTTCTCTTCTCAGAGACAGTGCATTCCATGTTCTCATCCTCTCCTTTCCTTCCTCCACCTACAGACGCCAGATGGGAGCAAGACTGTGACTCCACATGGCCCTGGGGGAGCCGGCTGTCCTGAGTGTTCTTGGCATAAGGGGAAGGATGGGCTGGGTCTCCCCAAGTCTCCAAGCTCAGCTGAAGATGAAGATGAAGATCCCCAGGGATGAGCAGAGGAGACGAGGATGGAGCATAATCATTGCTTTATTTATATCTCATCTCCTTCACAAAGGATCGGCATCAGTCACCAGAAACACACGCACAGTTGTAGGATGAAGGGAGTGTCAGGAGGGATCTGGAGGAAGCAGGGTCTGCTCAGGGCCACAGCATCAAGGAGTTAGGGGGTCCCCATGACAGACATCACATAGGCTCCAGAGAAGGGTACTTGTGTGCCCTGAGCTTCCTAGCAGCCAAGGCAAAAAGGAGCAGCACATAAAATAAACTACAGATCAGACCCTGAACCCAACTCTGTTTGCCACCTGATTCATTACAACCCTAGTCTGGCACCAGCATCCCTGCCCCAGCAACTGGTCTTCCTGTGATCCGATGTCTTAGAAATAGAGCTCTAACCCTATCACTTCCTGCTCACTCTCCTGTCTCATTTAGGACAAAATCCAAGTTAATCACTAAACTTGTGCAGCTGTCTGTGCTCTGCTGCCCCTCCCCCTTATTATCATTCTTATTGTGTGTTAGTGCTTGCCACATGCCATGGAAGCCAATGTGATGTAGCTGTGAAGAACACAGCGGCTGGGACCAGGCACCTCAGGCTCCCCTCCTGGCTCTGCCACTTACTAACAGGAGGTTGAAGCACTGACCCCACTCCCCACTCCCTGCATTCCCCTTGCCAGGGCCTTGCTTGGAGGTATGGTCGCTACTTCTTACTGTGGCTCTGTGACTGCTTCCACTGGTGGAAGGTGGGCAGGAGGGGCAGTGGCTTCTCCTCCCTACCACCATCTCTGCCAGGACCACTGTCACCATC